AATCACCCCCCAAGGTGGGATGGCCACACTGCAATCCCTTCTCTTCCATTCTCCCCTCGGGATCTTGGGCAGGCACGCACACGAGCCCGGCGTGAGTTTTAAGTCACCGGGTCTGGGAGGCGAACCGTGGTTGACTACGTGGGAGTCCAGCCACATAGCCATTACGCCAACTGCTGGTCCCCCAACTACACATTTCTTCTTGGGTATCCAGGAGCTGGTAATTTGAACTCTATTTTCCCTCTTCCAAGAACCTCTCGAGTTTTGATTCCCAAGAATCTCCTGATTTTCATCCAGGCTCAAAAAATCATTCTTTAACTCTTCATTTTTGCTTCCATACCCAATCAGTTGGCAAATCTTATAAACTATTTGTCAAGTATTTTTTTCTACTCAGAATTTCGATACTGTTATGAGTTGTATCCATCTATTTCACATTTGGAAATGGAATCACTGGAAATATAAAAGATGAGAGTATACTAAAATAGGATAAGTCCTTAATCCAATATCTGTTTGACTTGATATGAGGAGACAAATACAAGGAGAATGTTATAAAAATGGAGGCAGAGAGAACAGTGAAGCATTTAAACCAATGAATGCCAAAGATTGCTGGTAATCATCAGAAGCTAGGAGAAGCATGCAACAATTTTCCTGTGGAGATTCCAGAAGGAATCAAATATGCTGGTAGCTTGACTTTGGACTTTTAGCCTCCAGAATTAAGGTGAGGTGATAAATTTCTGTTGTTTGAAGCCACCAAGTTTGTGGTACCACATAACATTCCAGTAAATGATGAACCAAATATACAAAGGAAGTCCCTTAAGATTATAAACTATAGCACATCACCTAGGTGTTAGTACTGGGTACACCATCTGGGGTTGCTAAAGTACACCCTATAACGACACGATCACCTAACAATGTATTTCTCAAAAGGGATCTTGGCTCACCAGAGAGACAGAGAAAAAGTGAGAAATCACGTCCAGGGCGAGTGACCACACAATCCCTTCTCCTACATTGTCCTTTCGGGATTGTGGACACACATGCACATGCGCCTGGCTTGAGTTTAAGCTGCCTGGTCCAGGAATTGCAATTGGCCATGTGAGAGGTTTTTGCAATAGAGTGCGTGCGCTTGCCAGACAGACAGAGACAGACATAGAGACAGAAAGCGAGAAATCACCCCCCCAGGGGGGATGGTCATGCCGCAATCCCTTCTCCTCCATTCTCCTCTTGGGATCTTGGGCACGCACGCACACTTGCCCGGCGTGAGTTTTAAGCCACTGACTGGGTCCGGGACTCGAACTGTGGTTGACTACATGGGAGTCCAGCGACATAGCCATTACGATAACTGCTGGTTCTCCAGAGAAAATATTTTAAAAATGCAGAACAGGTCACTTTTCTCTTGATTATCTTTCAACAGTATCCTTTCAATACTTAAAGGGCATATATGATCAAAGAGCTGCCCCTCTCATACCTCACTTCCTATTCTTCCCCCTTCTTACTACTTATCAGGCACACCAGCTTTTTTTGACAGTACTTACTTGCCATCACCACTGCACAACTGAAATGCTCCTCCTCTCATGGCTCATTCCTTTCTGCTGTTACACTTCAGCTTAAATGTCAGTTCTGAATAGCCTTCCTTGAATACTTATCACTATCTGGTTTTTTATTATGTATTTCTTATATATTTAATTGGTAAATGTGTGTCTCTCTCCTCTATCCTGCTCCCCAACAGAATATGAGCTCTATGACAACTGAGACTTTGTCTTGTTCATCATTTATTCAAAGGAGCTGGGACAGTAGCTAGCATATAGGACTTCAATAAATATGTGCTCAATGGTGAATATGATAAGCTACGTTTCTGCTACTATAGACTGTATGTTTCAAAGGGGGAGAATAATAAGTGGTCTCAGAGGATATGAAGAATTAAGTGAGTTCCAGGAAAGTCCACATGACTACAAAATAGTAAAACTAGAGAATGATGAGAGAAATGGCTGGGAAGGTAATCAGGATATAGATTGTATAAGCCTTGCTAGGGGATTCTAAGGAGTTTTACTCTAAATGAAACTATATGCTGTTTAATTGTTAAATGACATTATCCAATTAATTCTGCAGAGCCTGACCATTCAATCTACCCCAACCAGCAGCAGCAGCACTTTCTCGGTAAAAATGCAACATTAGGCACCCAAACTGAGTAAGAATGCACTTTTAACACAATATTCAGGTGATTTACAGATAAAGTTTGAGAAACATTGGTACAGACAATGGATCAGGGCTGGGAAAGGATACAAGAAGGGAAACCAGTTAGGGGAAACCAATAATGGTCCTGGTGACCAATGACTGGCCAGTATAAGAGAGATAGCAGGGACTATGAGAAGACTAATTTTAGGTTCTGCTTTGGACATAGTTGACTTGGATTGTTTAGCTAGCCTAAATGGAGCTATGTGCCTGATTTTCAAGTTTAGGATTACAGATAGAGATCTGTGGGGTCTCTTGTCTGCGCCGCAGCTTCCAGGTTTCAAGTTTTTTTTGGGGGGAGGGTAATACATGGTTTTACACAAGTGGTTTTTGCCATCTTTATGGCACGATACCATATCCATTAAAGTTGTTCTTTTTTTTAGGTTTTTCCCATAGGGCTTGTGAGCTCATCAGAGGAGAGAGACATAGAGAAAGTGAGAAATCACCCCTCTAAGGGGATGGTCATTTTGCAATTCCTTCTCCTTGTTCTCCTCTCAGGATTTTTGTCACACACCCTCAGCATGACTTTCAAGCTGCCAGGTCTGGGACTCAAACCTCAGTCAGTCACTTGGGAATCTAGGGCCTTGATCACCAGACCACCTGCTGGTCCTGACATACCTTTAAGTTTTTCAAGTACTCCACTCTTTCACATTGTGGTTCTGTCACTTTATACCCTTACTAAACAATTTATAAAACTTCTGTTTGAAGGGAACCAGCAGTTAGCGTAATGGCTATGTTGCTGGACTCCCACGTAGTCGACCGCGGTTCGTGTCCCGGACCCGGTGGCTTAAAACTCACACCGGGCGCGTGTGCGTGCATGCCCAAGATCCCGAGAGGAGAATGGAGGAGAAGGGATTGCGGCATGACCATCCCCCCTGGGGGGTGATTTCTTGCTTTCTGTCTCTATGTCTCTCTCTGTCTGGCGAGCGCACGCGCCCTACAGTGAAAATCTCTCAAAAAAAAAAAAAAACAAAAACTTCTGTTTGAACTGTTTTAAAACTGAAGGCCCAAGGCTGACTAGTACTGTTCCTTCCTTCTCCATAGCCACTAGGATTTTCCATTCCCAAGTGTTTTTTTGTTTGTTTTGTTTTGTTATAGGGCACATGAAATCACATCACATCATCCCCCCCCCATCCCTTCTCCTCCATTCTCTTAGGATCTTGAGCACGCACACATGCCCGGTGTGAATTTAAGCCAGTGTCTGAGACTCAAACCACGGTTGACTACGTGGGAGTCCAGTGACATAGTCATTACATAGTCATTATTCTAACTGCTGGTCCCACCTTTTCCAAGTTTTAACTGAGAAATATCCTCAAGCCTGTGCCTAGTTTCCAGGTACAAGGCAGCTTAGGTTGGTGGGTCTATTTCTCTTAAGTGTCCAATTCTGTATTTTTTTTTTTTTAATTTTTACTTTATTTTTATTATTATTTTCCAGTTTGATTGGACAGAGAGAAGGGAAAAGTGAGAAAGCAAGCCACCAGGTCCAGGACTGGAACCAAGGAAAGCCACGTGGGAGTCCAGCAGCCACTAGCCAGGGCCCCAATTCTGTATTCTTAAAAAACAAAAAAAAAACAAAACAAAAGCCTCACTGAATTGGATGTTAAGGAACAGGAATTAAAGAACAGAAGTGAGTGCTGCAGTCAGCTAGAGGAGAGTTTCTTGCCCTACCATTTTAAGTGGAAGAGTGGGATTCTAATTTACTGATCTTCTGTACATCATTTGTCTCATCAAAGGTAGTGTGTAGACAAGCTTGTCACAACTATAAACAAAAGCAAGTGTGTTTTTCTTTCTCTTTTACCCGGGAGGGAAGACAGGCGAGTATTGGGAACAAGAAAAGTTATTGTCATGGTTTCAATGTTCAGTATCAGTAGGATTTCAGAATTTTGTCTCCTGGTTAAATTTAGGTATGGCAATTAGGAGGGCCCTGGCTAGTAATTTATAACAACATTTAAAATAGGATTACTGTATCTACACGTGACTGTTCTCCCTCCCTGTAAATTTAATTGATCTGTTTAAAACACTTTCCCAAGACACTTTCATAACTTTGAGAACGAAGTTCCCTCCAAGGAAAACCACAGATCTACTTGAAGGGATCGCCATGGCGGGTCTGCTCCGTAGCCAAGAATGGGTCGCGGTGAGTAGGACCGAGGTGGCAAGGGCTGCTCCGTCTCCTAGGGTAACCTCGGCCCACAGGGACAGGAGGCTGCCAGGAGAAAAGGGCAGCCCAGCGGCCTGCAGGTGCAAGCCGCGTGAGTGGGCGGAGAGGCCTGGGCGCCTCCTCCCCGCCTGGGACCGCGCGTCCGGGAATCACCCCGGGGCCCGCTCCTCCCCGCCGGCGGGGGGAGAAGGGGCAGACGGCCCCTCTCACCC